ATATATATATATTTATATTAATGAATATATTTTATTATATATATTATAAAAATCTAATAAAAGGATATATAATTTATTTTTATATTTTATATTTATATTATTATATATTCAAAATAATATCATCATTATTATTCTTCAGCATCATCTTAAAATTCAGATGTCCATAAAGTTAAATTATCTCTTATCAATTGCATAATTGTAGTTGCATCTTTATATTAATCTTCTTAAATACTTTCGATATCTCCAATAGCTTCATCAAATGCAGTTTTGGCTAAATTGCAAGCTTTTGAAGGATCATTCATAACTTCATAATGAAAAACTGAAAAGTTTAAAGCTAATCCAAGTCTAATAGGATGAGTAGTACTTAATTAAGCATTTGCAATTTCAGAAGCATTAGTATATGATTCTAAAGCTCCATCAGAAGCTTTTTTATGTGCGTCTCCAGTGGAATATTCAGCAATATATCTAAAATAATCTCCTTTCATTTTTAAATAGAAAACTTATGCTTCAGCATTCTTTAAAAATAAAAAATATTAATAAAATATAAATAATTACTGAAGCATTTTTAACTAAATGAGATGTTAATAAATCAAGAATATCATTACAAAATTTATTTAATTCCGTTTCAATTTTTTTTTTTTAGTTTGATAATAAATCTAAATGTTTAGATCCTTTAGATTCTTCCTTTTATTAGATTGCTGATAAACTTCTCCATGCAGATCTGCGTGATCCTACTGTGTTTTTGTAAGCTACAGATAATAAATTTCTTTCATCTATAGTTAATTCTTGTCCGGTTTATACTACTTGTTTCATGCAATCAAGCATGTCTTCAAATCTTTCGGTTTATTCAGCTATTTTAGCCATATATATTAATTCGTCTCTACTTAATCCCATTTTTTATTTATTTAATAATGTAGTAAAAAGTATATATAAATTATTTATAATTAATATTAAAAAAGATTCTTTTTTAATTAAATTTAAATATTATGAAAATAAAAATATTTATAAATATATATATATATATATATATATTTATTATATATTAATAATTTATACATATGTTTTATTATGTTTTTTATTTATTTTTGAATTTTTATATTAATTTTATATCTTTTTTATTTTGTAAAAATTATAATAAAGAAAATAATAATTTAATATTTTTATTTAATATTTTTTTTAATTATCTTTATATTAAAAAAGAAAAATTACATATTATTTTTTATTTATTCTTTTATATATATACATATCAATTAATTTTTTCTTATTTCTAATTTTTTTTTATTAAATTTTATATTTTTTTAAAAAATTATTTTTTGCTTTAATATGGCTACATTTAACAAATTTTTTTTTAAATATAGATTATTACATCTTTTTTAATTTTTTTTTGTTTTAGCATTAATTTTCCCAGTTTTAGCTTTAATTTTCCCAGTTTAAATTTCATTAATTCTTATTAATTTTTTTTTTATTTTAATTTAAATAATATTTTTGATAGAATTATTAAAATTTCTATATAAATTTAATCCATTTTTTATTTTTAATTAGAATTTGTATCTTTTTTAATAAAAAAATACAAATTATAAAAAAAAATTTTTTATAAGCGTTTTTTATTGTTAAGCGAACAATATTTTTTCTTTTATTTATTTCAATATTTTTTATTTATATATTTTATTATGAGAATTTTAATTTTTATTGATAATTATATTATTTATATATTTATTTTATATATAAATTTTAAACAAATAAAATTATTAATATATTAATTTAAAAATATCTTTTATTTTTAGAAAAAATATTTGTAAAAAAATAAATAAATTATAAATGAATATAATTAATTTTTTATAAAAAATAATTATAATAATTTTTTAAAAATATATAATCAATATGTATTTTATTTGTTTTAAATAATAATTTATAATGTTTAATATTATAATTTTTATAATATAATATCAAATAATTTCTATAAAGAGTTTTTGATATAATTCATATAAATATTAATCTATTTTTATATTAATAAACAATATATATATTTAGATTATGTCCTATTTAACTTATACTTTATAATAAATACTTATAATATGAAAATATTTAAATCATCATAAAAATATATATATATATATATATAAAATTTTATTTAATATATAAAATAAAAATATTAAACTAAATTATAATTTTTTTTTTTATTTATATTATTTAAATAAATAAAAAATAAAATAATTAAATTGTATATAAATAAATATATATATATATACATATATTCATATATATATATATATATATATATTTATTGTAGAAAAATAAAATTAATTAAAATATATATATATAAATTAAAGTAGAACCAAATAAAAAGAAACAAAAATTAAATTAAATTAAAAATAAACATAAAAAATAAATTAAAAAATAATAAAAATTCAGATATGTAAAAATAAATAGTCAATATTTTTGTTTTTTATTTTCTAAATGTCTTATAAATCATAATCTATTATATGTATATAAAAAATGGAAATAAAAATTATATTTAATTATTATCATAAATTCATTTTTTTTCGAAAATAAAAAATCATAATATAATACTAAATTAAAAATAAAAGTCTTTAATTATTAATCAAATATGTAAACAATTAATATTAAATACATATACATAAATAAATATAAGTTAATTAAATAAAATATATAAAATATATATAATAAAATAATTAAGTAAAATAAATAAAATAAAAATGAACGATTAAAACGTTGACTAATAAATTAATAATTAAAGCAACAATATCGAGAATTAGAATAGTAAAAATAAATAAATTATAAAAATAACAAAAACAAAAAATTTAAAACAGATTTTGTTGAGGTTAAAAATTCTTAAAGAAAAAGAAAATAATTTTAATATTAATTGCTGCATTAATATTTATTTGTTTATTAATTGGTGGATTATACGCTTTCAATGTATTAAATGAATAAGACAATGGTACTAAAATAAAGATTCCTATAAACTACAATCAATATAAACCACAAATATTAGTAAAAAAAAAATACAAAAATATATAATTATAAATTTTAAAGATTGGATAAGAAAAAAATTTAATTTCAATAATAAATGTACCTAAATCTCAAAAGATATACAAATATTTATCTACTACTACTATAACAAATACATAAGCAGATGGTTAAATTGCGGTTTAAATAAATAAATAAAATAATTAATATTAATAAAAATATAAAAAAAAGGTTACAAGAACAGTATCTGAGCATGATTTTGGTCTTGTTTGCTCTGAATTGACAGAAGAATGTTAATATTTATTTATAAAAAAAATGTTAAATTTATATAATAAATAGATTTTGAAATGTTAGTTTATATAAAGAAAACTTAAAATTATGATTTGGATGATAAAGAAAAATCATTAAAAGAAAGAGTTGGATTTCCTGAAATGTTAACAAATCCAGATAAGGAAGATTAAAATAGAAATATGGTATAAGAAAAACCTATTATTTAATAAAATAATGAAAGACTATTATAAGAACCTGGTAAAAAATAAAAAAATATTATTTTTATATAAAAAATTAATATGAGAAGAAGAGGAAGGTTAAGAAGACATCAAAGATCCTGAAGAAGAAAAAATGAAATAAAGAATAAGAGAAAAATAAAAAAAATAAGAAAAGGAATCAGGAGGTTTAACGACTGAAAAAGAATAGGTATATATAATATATATATATATATATAAAAATAAAAATATAAACATAAATAAATATATTTATATATATATATAATTTATTAATATTCATTTATATTTAATATTTGATAGGATTATTAACTCCAAAAGAAATTGAAGCATTAAAAAAAAAAGGATATACAGATGAATAATATAAAAATAGTAAATATCCTATTATTAAATTCAGAATTTCTAAAGAAGGTAAAATTACATAAGTTTTTTAACCAATAAACTTACGATATGATGTTTACTAAATATATATAAATTTACTTGAACAAATATCTCCGATAGTAAAAGCAGATTTATATTAAGTCTAATAAAAAGACTAAAACGGAAAAAAAGAATATTATCATATTAAAAAATATTCGAGAAAATAAGAATTTTAGGCATAGAAGATATCTAACCTTAATATTCAGCCTAAGTATAACCAAACGGTGAAGGTACATTAAATAAAGAATATGCATAAGGGAAATCTATAGGAGAAAATAGTGAAAGATAAGTATCTTATGATTAATAATCTAAAATTTAAAATGGAGCACTTTTAGAAAGTAAAGCAAGCTCTTCATGCTCATTTGATGATAACAAAGTAAATATTAAATATATAAATATATAAATATATAAATATAATATTTTTTTATATACTCTATTAATTAGAATGGATAAAATAAAGATCCTTCATTGACAGGGAAAATGGATATAAAGACTGATGTTGTATTATCTTTTGTAAAATAAGAAGATAAAATGGAAGATAAATTTTTTAATTAATTAATGGAATATTTCAAAAATATGTCATCTTGGAATTATACTTGGGAATAAGCAAAAAATGAACATTAAGCTTCCTTAGAAAAAACTTAAAATGGACCAGATGATAAATAAAATTTAAGAGAATTAGCAGATGAATAGGATTTTGATGAAAAGGCTGAAGGAAAGCAAAAACCTATGGGAGATATTATTTAGAAGCCTATTTTTAGAAAAACACTTTCTAGTTTTGAATTAGGAGCTGATATAAGATCGGAATGTACATCTTCAGAATCATATTCCAAATAAGATATATGTAAAGCGTCTTTATGGAGTTATTTTAATGGAGTCACTGTAAAAAATTAAAAATAATATATAAATATATATACATATAAATAAATAAATAATATATATATATATATGTATATATATATATATTTTATATATATATATTTATATTATTATATTTTTATTTTAAAAAAGGCTAAATTAATAGAGAGAAAAACTAGAATTAATGTTAGTAAGTTGATTAAATAGTATTAGTATATTTAACATTTATTCTAAACCAAATTGAATATTGTTAAAGATGATATTTTAGGTGGAATTACAAAAGTTTAAGACAATATTAATAATATAATTGATCAAGTTGAGGATTTTTTAGATATAAAAAGAAATCCTGTTATGAAAGAATTATTAGGAGTTGTTTATAATGATGAACTTAATGTTGTTTCTTAAATTAATTAATTTGAACTATTAATAAATAAAGTAATTTATAAACAAATATATATATTTATAAATTTATTTCTATAGACATTAGAAGGTATAAATAAATTAGTAGAAAATCCTTTAGCTGTATTTAAAGAAAAACAATATCTTTTTTAGCTAGAAAATATGTATCTTTATCTGCTTAAATTAATTCTATTTCTAATTTTTTTATTGATAAATTTACTCGAATTTAAAAATATATTGAAAAAAATAAAAATTATGGAATATCAGAGGATACATATTAAAAACTTGTAGACTTATTTAATACTTATGAAGATATTATCATAGAACTAGTTGAAGTTCCTATAAAAGGATACTTAGATGAAGTAGAATCTTTTGTACTAAGCTAAGCATCCAGTGTATTCGACCGATCAAGTGAAGTAGATAAATAAGTGTCTGATACATAAGAAAGTAAAGAAGGAAAATCCGCAAAATTATTAAATTTAATCAAGAAAATGCTCACAACATCTGGACTAGTCGATAAATTAAAAAAGATGCTTGTTTAAGGATTAAAAAGGGTAGTTTCTTAAAAAAAGTAGCTTAACATTTAATCTAATAATTAAATTCGAACTTAAAATAAATAAAGGACGCAGTATTGGTTTAAATGGAAATAATTCCTCAAAATAACCGATAAATTGATGTTGAAGAAATATAATAAGTTCTATTAGAATTTAATAATTCATTTTATTTTTCATAAGATATAAAGACTGGAATTTAAATTTTTAAAGATGATTGCACTTAAATAATAGATTCTTTAAAAAATTTATAAGGGAGAAAAGCCTTAAAAGTAATAGGAGAATTTGCTGCAAACTTAGTCTCTTTTCCAACTGATTTAGCTAAAAAGGTGAAATATTAAGGGCTTGAGACAATAAGGAAAATTAAGAATATTGCTTTGAAAATAAAAGAAAATGTTATAAACTGGAAAGATTAAATTATTTAATAATCGAAAGATTTAGTTAGTAATGTTAAGGGTATATTTGCTAGTGTGAAGGAACTTTTTTCTAAACCTGTAGACTTTCCGATGGATAATCAATCTTATTATGATACGCCGATTTTCGATGAAGTTATGAATATAGTAAATGGAGTTAAATCAGTAATTAATTATCCTTATAAGAAAATTGGATAGATTTTTATAAGAATTTTAGATTTGCCAAATAAGTTTAAAGTATTTTTAACTTAAATGAAAGATTTTGGAAATTAAACTTTTGAGTATTTGAAAAATATTAAATTAGCAGTTTCTTCTATGAATATAGATGGAGGACTTATTTGGTAAAAATTATCAGGTAAAGTAGAATAAAGTAGAAAGGAAGTTAAAGGAGAAATCGAAGAAAAGTAACCTGATGCAGGAGCAAAAGGTAGAAGAGTTAGGGTTTTGGGAATTTTCGATAGAGAAGATGAAACTGATAATAGTACTTTGAATTAAAATTATGGATAAGCAGAAAAAGCTATTTCTGAATTTAACGATGCTGTATAATAAATAAATATAAATATATATATATATATATATATAAATATATATATATATATAAATAAATTTATATATTAAATATATTTTTTTATAAGAATTAATTAGATGTGAAAAATAATGTCGAATCATATAAAAAATAATGTGAAGAAAATGCTGAAAACAGTGGTTAGTTATATTCAGGAGTTATAGGTTAGATTATTTCATAAATTTAATTTGAAACTAGAATTTAATTTCAAGCGATTTCTCTTGATTGGGAATACACTTAATATTATGTTACTCCTATTGGAATAACTCTTGTTTTTAAAATCTATGCTGGATGGAGAGTCGGGTTTATCTTTACAATTAAATTTAAAAATGCTATTTTGGATATTTCTGTTGGAGTTAATACTTATGTTGTGGCTGGTGGGTCAATCGGAATTAGTATTTTGATCGCTGAGTTTGGAGCTTATCTTGAAGGAAAATTCTTAGACACTACTCTAACTGTGGGAATCGCTTTAAAAGTTTTAGAAAGAGTATTAATTAATAAAATTTATATTTTAATTTTTAAATTTTTAATTTTTTAAATTTAAATAATAAAATTAGTTTAAAGGTTGTGTTTATATTGATGCATAATTTACTCCAATTACTATAAGGTTTGGTATTTATTATAAAATTTTATTTTTCTCAAGAAAAGATCTTTTCGAACCTATTTAATGGACTGGACCTTCTTATTATAAAAGATTAAGTGAATATTGCTGGTGATATAATAGATAAGATTTTATTTATTAATTATTTTATATGTTATAAGGTATAAAATTATACTTTTTATTTTTTTATTATATTTTAAAAGTAATAAATATATTTTTATGATTATATAAAAAATAATATATGTATAAATATATTTATATATAAAATATTTTTAATAATTTTTTTTAATAATATTAATATATATGAATAATTTAAGATATTTTAAATTATTATAAAAATAATTAATTATATGTATTAATTTATATTTATTATATTTTTTAGTTAATTATTCTTTAAGATTAAAATTTATATTTAATTAATTAAAATATAAATTACTTATAAATATTAATTTTAAATTTAATTAAGTTTTAATTTTTTATATTTTAATAAAAATTTTACTATTTTAATAAAGTTAAATGAAAAATAAAAAAATGAATTAAAAATATAAAATAAATTGCAATTTACAAAATATAATATATTCATATATATTTTCATTTAATAATATGAACTTATAAATAGATATATATATTTATTGTAATTTAAAGATACATATAAATATATATATATATATATATATATATATATATATATATATATATATTTATATACATAAACTTTATTTCAATAATTAATATATTCTTCAATTAAACAATTATAATTTTATGTTTAAAACAATTACTTTATGAAAACTTCAAATTTTTGATTTTCTAAAATTAACATATTTTATACAAAATCAATATTTTTGTTTTATAAACTTATAAAATCAATACACTCAACAAAATTTTATATAAAAACTTTTCTTGTTTTTTAAATAATTTCAAAACAAATATATTTTGATTTCACTTCTTAAAATTTTTCGAATAAATAGTTAATTTAAGATTCTAAATGAAAATAAAATTAATTATTTATCACATTTTCATTAAAATTAATAATTTCAATTTAATCTAAATTAATTATTTAATATCTACTATCGAAATTCTAATTATCGTATATCTATAAAATTATTAATATATCATCTTTTTTCTGTTAAATACTTCATTTATTCCAATTATTAAAGGAATAGGTGAATCCAATATATTTATTAAATTTTCATTTAAAATAAAAACTAAAGGATGTAGCCATTTCAAAGGTTTTAATAGTGAATGAAAAACTAAACTTTTTTTATTTCATTTTATTTATTGTAAAAAAAAAGTAAATAATATTATTTACATTGTTTATGTTAATAATTATTTATTTTCACTAATAAAAATTATTGATTATTCTTAAATAATGGCTAAATATATATATAAAAATATACCTAAACTATTAATATTTTAAAACACATCTAATAAGCCCCATTCTGCTTCTAAATCAAATTAATTAAATTATAAATAATTTTCAAAAAAACAAACACTTTTATTAATATTAGGCATTTTTACTTGCATTAACTATTATTATTGGAAAAACTAAACTTCGATTTTATTTTGGGATTCAATTTTTTCAAGAATATTAAAAAAAAATTAAATACAAGGAAACTTAGAAACTATACAATAAGCAATTAATTATTTTTGTATAAATGAATATTTCTAAAAAATAATAAAATAAAGAAGTTTATCAGGATTTATTTATTCTAAAATATCATTTTTTTCTTATTTTTGATAAGATTATTTAGTTTTTAATGCAAATACATATTTTTCGTGTTAATTTTTATAAATTAATAATGGAAAAAGAAAATCTTAAATATTTTTTCTAGCTAAAAATTCTCCTATACATTTTGAGTTTAAATACATATAAAATTAATATTATTTTGTTCATTTTTTTCTAAAATAAAAAATCCATCGATTAATAAGCAATCTTTTAAAAATATATATATATATATATTAAAAATGAATTAATTATTTTAAAAATATAATATATATATAAATATGAAATAAAAAATTCAAATATTAATATATATATATTAAATAAATTATATATATACCATTTTATTTTTTTTGTAAATTATCTTTATTATTGTTTTTTTTTAAATTTTAATTTTCTATTTTTTCGTTTTAACTATTATTTTATGTAAATAATTCATTTTAATTTTCTTAATCTTTTTTTTTTTTTCAATTAATTAATAAATCGTTTATTTTTTTTTCTTTTCATTTTTTTATTTAAAAACTTTGCTTTCATTTTAAAAATATTTCAAATTTTTTTCTTTCATTATCATTTTGTTCGGCCTTTAATGCATACTATCACTATGATTTGAACTTACATCAGAATCTGTAAATATTGGATTGTTTTTGTCATATTTTTTTTCCAGTTTTTAATTCAAATTATTGATATAATTCTATTTTGGTATTTAGATTTAATTTATATATCTTGAATTTGGAGATACTGAATGTTATAATCTTTATGATTTTTAGAAATGATTAGGAATAATATTGATCTATTATTATTATTATTATAGATTAACGAAATTTTATATTTATTCCTTTTGATTTTATATTTATTCTTCAAGCCTTGTTATTATTTGTATGTATTTCTGCTCTTTTATAAGGTGTTCTTGAATTTTTTCTTTTAACTTTATTGTATTTTGATCTTACATTTTTATTATTTAGTTTAGTTTTTTTATTTCTAATTCCATTTTTATTTATTATTTTTTTAAAATAATTAATAATACTATTGTTGTATTTTTTTTATTCATTATATATAATATTTTAATTTAATAATTATATAAATAATTAAATATACATATTAAAAAAAATATATATATACAAATATTTAAACCTATTGATACTCAAATTAAACTATGTTTATTTTATAAATTTTTATATAAGCCAATTAAAAAAAAAAAGACTTGCATAAACATAATTTCATTTTTTGAACTAATTTTTTTTATTTATCAAATATATTTTTATACTAAATATATAAAAGAACAATATAAATTTATATTAAAATATTTTTACAAGTTTTCTTCATAAAAAGAAAAATTAAAATTAAAATTAAAAAAAAAAAAAAAAACTTAAAACATAAACTAAAAAAAAAAAACCAAAATAAAAAAAACCTATATAATTAAAAAGAAAAAATTAGTAATGATATAAAAGCATCCCATATTTAATAAAAATCCAGAATTTACCAATCAAGATTGTCCCCAAGGTTGTTTAGGTCAAAAAAATATAAAAATTCAAAATGGCATAGCATGTGGTTAATGCGGTCAAGTATTACGTAGTGAAGAATTCGAGCCCGAATTCACATACAGTTCTTTAAATTATATAGATAAAAAAAAATAACGGAATCAACAGCATACAGTAAATTAAGAAAATCGACAAAAAGAAATAAATAAACAAATAAATGAGTTTGTGACTAAATTTCCTTTAAATTATAAAGAATAAGAAGAAGTAATGTAAATAGTAGAATAAGTCTTAAGAATAATGGATTAAAAATAAAAAAGATGTAGATCATTAAGATCTCTTGTAGCTTCTTCGTTTTATGAGTATAATAAAAAAATGAACAAGTTTATACCAATAAATGAGTTTTGTAAAAAATTTTTAATTAAACAGAAGAGGTTGCTAAAATATTCGAAAAAATTAAATAAATATTAACTTTTTTTGAATATAAATATTTAATAAAAAGATCAAATAGTTGATATTGTTCTTGGAAAAATTGAAAAATTTATTTCTAAATAAAGGAATTTAATTGCGAATCTATTTTAGCCTTTTTCAAATAAATAATATAAGGATTTAAAAAAAGACGACTCTTATATATAAAGTATCAAAAATAATATAAAAAATCTGTATTTTTGTGAATATTTAAGTATAGTGAGAATGGGAAAACACCCGTAAAATTTTATTAGTACAATAGCCTATTTAATGCTAAAATCTTTAAATTTTGCATTCAAAAATAACCAGTTTTGTGAAGATATTGGTATAAAGTATTCTACTTTATCAAGGGAATAAAAATAAATTAAAGAATATTTAGTTAATAGTATATAGATGGTTTAATAGGAAAAAATACCGAAAAATATACTCTAAGAAAGTTAGTAAAATAGTTAAAAATTATCTAATGAGTTTTTGGCATTTGCGTTTTAGAATATTCTATAAAATAACGAAGAACTAAATAATTTAGAAAAATAAGATTATAATAGTATTTAAAGTACTCCAATTAATTAAAATAATAATATCTTAATTTGATATTATTTTATAAAAAATTATTAATTATTATAAATATATATTATCAAACATTGAATTAATTTTTTATTATATTATAATTTTATTTATATATATATATATATATATATATATTATTATATATACTATTTTTATTTTATTTCTTTTTTTCTTAAGTAAAATTATATATG